TAGGAACAGGCAGTCCCTTAAACATGGTGGGGTAGGAAGGGAAATGCCATGATAACATAGATAACTGCTGTGCTGAATAAGAGTCCCCTGCCTAAACTGACACTTGAGCAATGTTTATTTTCCATTATTATTTGGAAGACCCACGAAGACGTGAATGAGCATGATAAAATGCCGTGCTTTGATGTGCTGAAACGGTGGTGTAACCAGATGATGTATGCGATGAATGTTCAGCTCCTTCCTCGTCCCGAGAGGCAGAGGCTGTGTCTGGGTGCTCTTGTGGCAGGGGAGGAGGTGGGGGCTGCCCAGATCTTTTTTTTTTTTTTTTTTTGGGTGTGTGTCAGGAAAAATGGTCAACAGGTGGAGCATGCATATGTGGCGAGGGGGAAGATAGTTTGAATATCTGCTACAAATGGGCCTTATGTAAAAGAAAAGATTAATCTTTTTCAGGATCATCCAAAAGTCATTGATATCACCTTTGTTGGCACCTAGTCATAAAATTTTTTTTTTTTTTTTTTTGGTGGTAGAAAGGAATTAACAGTACCAGATCTTTTTTCTTCTTTTTTCCTTCTCTTTTTTCTTTTTTTTTTTTTTTTAAGTTTGCGTATGCTCAGTGTTGTTGCAACTGTGTCTGTTTCTGAAAAATCAGGCAGAAGCATTGCGATCGTCGGTTCCCCTGGCTTCCGTCGCAGTGACAGAAAGGGGCATCGGTGGCGCTGGCAGCACTGGGGCAGGCAGTAAGCCAGCCCGTGGGCTAAAACTAGCTGAGTAACGCTGCCATCTGTATTTATGAGCTCTAGGGCGGACAGACTGGGCTGTTTGCTAAATACTATTTTGTGTTTGTTCGGTAACTTTACCTGAGGAGTAATCTGCTCTAGCAGAAGTGATTCTGAGCAGCGGAGAGCGACGGGCAGTGGGGCCTCCTTTCTGACAGCCCTGCCTCTGCTTGCAGCGTCGGCCAAAGGCAGCTCGTCTGCCTGGCAAGGGCACTGCTTCGCAAGACAAGGGTCTTGATCCTAGACGAAGCGACAGCAGCTATCGATCTGGAGACGGATGATCTTATCCAGATGACAATTAGGACGCAGTTTGAAGACTGCACGGTGCTGACAATAGCGCACAGGCTGAACACGATTATGGATTACACAAGGTAAAAATCTCTTAATGGTGCGTGGCGGGGGGCTCACCGCTGTACTGGGTATGTGCAGCAGCACTTAGAAGGGTCTGGTTTGGCTCTAGGTAGTCACACTGACGCTCTTGTCAGGTCGGATGTAAGCAATGGTGTTTAAGCCATATAATCCTAGAATATCCAGACCCGACAGGCGCTGTATTCCCTAACCAGAGCTGCGCCAGAGATACTGCCCAGTTCCGTTAATGGCGCTGTCAGCAAGCTTACGGATCCTTTTTCAACTAGCAGCCGCTGTAACTTTTTCACTACCATCATGTCACATTAATTACTTTAAAATATATTACTATACTTCATGAGCTTTTATCTCCTTGGCTTTCTGGTACTATATTTTCAATTCCAGAACTACCAGTATGACACTTTTTTCCCCCTGTCTTATTACCCCTGGGAGGCAGTGACTGCCCTGTACCTTTTTAAATGAAAGGGCAGCTCAGGGAGAATGTTCCTCATCGGTTGTGTTTCAAGGTGTGAAAATAACTGAGCAAAACAAGGGCAAGGCAAAGATTAGAGCAGTTTGCTGTGTCGCCGAAAGGGATATCGCATTTCTTGCGAGGAATTCTCTAACCTATCTTCCCCCTCACCCGCCACCTTTTGTTTTGCGCAGGGTTCTTGTTCTAGACAACGGGACCATAGCCGAATTCGATACACCCGCAAGCCTTATAGCGTCAAAGGGTATTTTCTACAGTATGGCCAAAGATGCTGGACTAGCATGAAAAGACGACCCCTTGGGTTTTGGGTTGGGTTTTTTGGGTTTTTTTAATATTACTGACTTGCCACAAAAGTGACTTGTGAATGTACTGTACTTTACGAAACAGTTTTTGTAGTAGACTAAACTTGTGATATGTGAACAAAGTATTTTACAGTTATGAGGACCAGAAAGTGAATTTTATATTTTTAAATATTTTCTATATACATAAAGTATTTTCCTATATGCTTTTTTCCCAAACATTCTGCCAAGAAAATGTATGTATGACAGGGCAATGTGTACTGTATTCAGGTTTATAGTTAGTAAATTATATTAATGGTACAAAACACGCCTGGTTTGTCTGTTTTCTGCACAAGGATTCATTGGTTTTGAAGTGGAAAGACAGGCCCAGTTAAGCAGTGACTCGGCTGAAAAATAGTGAAATAATGTGTGATCCCTGAGTGGTTCCGAGCTGCTCCTTTGGCGTTTCCCCCAGGACGAGGGGGTGGAAGGCTCCGGCTTCCAGGCTGGGAGCTACCGGGACCTCTGCTATCCCTGCCCAGCGCAACTCCAGCATTAAAAAATTCCTCTTCAGCGTAAGAATTACAAGTAACGTGTATTTAAAACTAAACCTACAGACAGCTTTATAGAAACCATTAACTACACAATTTCTGCCGATTTAGCAGGCTCCCTGTAAGCCTGCAGGGCCAGGACTGGCACGGAAGGATTCCCATTTTGCTTTCCCTCTCATGTATAAAGTCACTATGAGTAAGTCTCCACGTAAGCTGAACGTGCGTGCTGAGCGGATGTGTATATAATTTATCTCATTCCACACTTAATCACCTGAAATAATATGTGATTTCTTTTGCAGAAATAAATATCTACCTTATTACTGATAACCAAGCCTCCGCAGATAAGGGGAGTGCTGTGCTTAAACAATATTTGCTGCTAGAATCTGATAGAATGTCTTTTGCTTTAGTTGTTCACTTCCTCCACCGAGCACGCTAGAAACCTACCCGGCAAGAAAAAGTTCCTGCTGTTCCATAAGTAAAGGTCAGAAAAACTTTGAGAAGACAAAAATAATCATTTATTAATTCTTACAAATAATGCTTCTTAAATAGAAACAAGAGTCTGCAGCCAAGCATTCATTTGACGTTAACATTTCATATAGCAGAGCACAAAGTGATGAATTATTTATCACACACAGTAATGTCACGGTTATACACTGCTCAGATTGTTAGGAGTGTTAATAGCATCTTCTACGTATAAACTGCATAAGGTATAAAAATATTCCTCTGAATGCATAGATAGCGATCAGCATCTGTGCAAGATAATCAGCGTAACAACGCAGGCATCACCCCAGGAGCGGAGCTGTTTGCGAGCAGGTCTGGCTGGTTAATCCCGGTACCGGCGTGGCTTTCGCTGGCGTTTCCACAGCCGATGCCTAATCCCTGCCTGCTCTGCGCCAGGGAGAGCGCGATCGGCAAAGCGCCAGCCGAGGAACAACAGTTCTGCTATTCCGTTATACAGCAGTTAATGCACCGCCAGCAATTTGGTATAAAAAATAGATATTGCCAATGACTCAGACCGCATTTGACCTCCAGCCCTTTTCAGAAGAGGCCGTTTTGTTGTGACAAGATGTTCTGTTGGCCTTCGGAGACGGAGCTTCAGGCTAGCTAACTGGGACACAGGACCTGGGGGTGTTTGCACGGATCTGTGCTTCCAGGTGAACGCTGGACATCCGCCTACGAGGGAACTGGGAGAGGGCTCCCTCCTGCGCGCCCAGTCACGCCTGCGGAAGCCGCTTCCCCACGCACAAAGTACTTACTCCTCGCCGGACGAGAAAGAGAGAGCGGGGGTAAGTCTGGGCGCCAGCTCCCGTGGCGTCAGCTGTAACGGGGTGACCGCCCTGACTGCAGGGGAGGAACAAACTTCTGTAAATCCCATTCACAGGTCCGGCTAACGGGCTCTCAATTTTTAGACAAGACCATAAAATACTTTGGTTGCTCCAGTTTCCAAAGAAACTGGGGGAAAGGGAGGGGGAAGACAAAGAAAAAGTGGGGAATTCAGTCCGGTTGGGTACCTTCTGTCTGCCTGTTACACCTCGTACTTTAGTTCATTCATCTAATTCATACGACATACTTTTACAGTCGGGCTAGCAGAGCAAACTCTTCCTCAAATGCAGGTGACTGAGTAAATACTAATATCCTAAAAAATTAGATCAAATCCAGCTCTTAAATACTTTCCAATTTATTTATTCCAGAATTTCATAGCAAAGTAGTCTTAATTCTGAATTTTACACAACAGGAACAGGAAAAGTGGTTTTTCAGTAAGCAGCGTGGGTAAACACAAGGCATTGGAAAAAAAGAAAATACATTGCATAGGAACATCAAGATTTAGTATCAGCCCAGAAAACCCTGGGCATTTCACTAGTTTCTTTTTACACAGGCAACTTTGAAGTTTCAAGATGCGATCTTTCTCAGGAATGTAGAGGTAAAAGGAAAATAAAATTACAATTTTTGTGCTTTTAGAAGGGGAAATTAAAGCAGCATTGGAGAAATGTGTTCAATGCAGTAACAGAAATAGTATTTTAAATTGCACATGTCAATACTGTGTATTGACAGACAACAATAAAAGGGATTTTGGTTGAGAGCATATTTATGATTTGGATAATTACTATCACTTTTTGTTTTCAACCTGAGACATAGGGAAAAGTGTAAACAGGGATTAAGAAATCACAGGTAATAAGTCACTTGGTAGTATTTAAACTAGACATAGTTTTGTGCTTCTTCCACAGATTCAAACCCTTCTGGTTTTTTCCTTCTAAATAAGAGATGACTTAAAATACATGATCTGAAAAGTGAATGGTAATGGTAATGGACCCAGTACACGTATTAAATGGGTTTCGTGGCAGGTTCTTTAGCTCCTGTACCTCTGCTATTTTATAGCAAACAAATTATTGGAACAGTTTAAGGTAAGCCTTTCCCTGAGAGCTGCTAACTCTACAGTACACCGAGATTTTTGTAAGGAAAAGTGTTGCATTAACAGATAGTTCTACCAATACTTCCTTGGCATTAAGCTACTTTCGTATCAGACTCATTACTCTTAGCTTAACTAGAGGCTGTAACTGTGCGCAACATCTTTAGTTTATTTCAAGGTTAACAAAATAGATTTTTTTTTTCCCCATCGTTAGCCCTTATAGATACTGTATGTCAAACGTAACGTTAAAAGGAGAGATACAAATCTTCTGGTTTAGTCTTTAAACAATTAATACGTCAGTTCTGATGCCTTCTTGTTATAACCACTCCGTTCAGAAAGCGTGGGGACTCTGAAAAGTAAGTTTTTGTCGCTTACTGTTAGGACAAGCTCCAGTTCTTGGAAATCCTGTAGCCTTGCAACATCTTTGTCCTTTAAATAAATACAGTGAGTTGTTAGGTGATAAACCGACTGTTCGGTTTTGCAGAGGTAAGTTAAACTAATAGGCTCATACTAACAAAAGGTATGTATTTATCCACAAATATGACAGTTCTTTACAGTAAACTGGAAAGCAGACATCCTGTTGCATCTTACGTTTATTCCGGGATCGTATTCAGCTGCTCGCTTATGTCTGTTTTTAGGAGGAGTGCAGTACTGACGGTGAGTGCAAGCGATTAGTGGAATTACACTTGTAAAGATCTACTGCGTGCCACCCCCAGCTCCTCCTTCCCCCCCTTGGTAATTCTCAGCAGCTCACGAATCGATGCTTGCCTCTACCCCCAGAGGTCCCGCGCGCAGCTTCGGCCCCCCGACGCCACGGGAGCACCGGCTCAGGCAGGGTCTTCAGGCAGCGGTGGAAGGTGCCCTCCCACAGCCCGGGCTCGAGCTCCGAGCCCCGCCGCAGCAGGGCCCTGCTGCTAAACAGCACCGAACGGGATCAGTTTTGTATCGCCTCACGGAACAGTAAGTGTCCTGCAGCCCTACCCACAGAGCCTGAAGTAATCGGAACTGGAAATAAACAGTCCTTCCAACAACAACCGAAGGAGGCAAGTGACAGAATGGCTTATGTCTGTCTTTTTTTTCCCCCGCTTCTTGACTAACAAAGACTAAGTCACCTCATGGTCAGTGAAGACGCACTAGTGAAGTCTATCAATCTAGTACTAACCAGATTAGCTCCCCGACTGCCACCAGCAACGCACTGGAGGGACTGGAGAGTGAAAGAAAGGTCAGCGGTGAATGAGTAAAACAGGTCAGCAGGGCCCTTTTCTGTTTGCTGCCCAGATGAGTGTCACGGAAGTGAAAAGCCAGTTACGCTGGGAGACCTGCGCTCAGAATAATTCTGAAACACCCTTCTGTTTTTTGAAAGGACTGCATACAGTCCTTACCGAACTAGCAGAACTCACTCGAGTCCCGCAGGCCTGTTAAATGCTGATGACAGGTCAGTGCTGTATTGCACTGAACTGAGGACCACAGTAGCAAAATCAGATATGAATTGGGCTCAATGCCCAATGTTTATGACAGGAAATGATCAAGAAACTTGGGAACCTTTTTTACTAAAAAAAAAAAAAAAACAACTACTAAGTGCTGAAAATCGAAGTGAGGTGTTTGGTTTGGTTTTGGGTTTTTTTTTCCAACATGGGCCTATGCAGGTGACCAACAAATTATTCCTTTTTAATGGTAACCTAAAAATCTTTTTTATAAGTTACTGCACTTCAAAAATGTAGAGTTCTTACCTTTCTTAACATTGTATTTGGTAATTTTCTGATCTTCTGTACGTGCTCAGGGTTAACACCCAGCTCACGGCAGCTCACTCGGAGCAGTTCCTTATAGGTCAGCTCTTGTCTGTCCAGTTCGATTTCGATGAAGTCATTTTCTCGAAGATTGGGGTTTTGTATTCTAACTTTAAGCACCAGTTCTATTGGAAATAAAGAGGTACGTTAATAGGCAGATGTAGAAAGGAATCAGAAAAGACATCTCTATACTAACTTCCAGATATTCCTATGTTCTGTTAACCTCATTCGTATCGTTTGTAACAATATGAGAGCCCTCGGAAAGCAAACAACTGCATTTGTGTGACCACAGTCTTCATTAGATTGACTTGCATCAACCTATGTGAAAAAATCATCACAAATCTAATGCAGTGCCTATGCAGGTATGAACCTTGGCGTGAATGCTCACCTTACTGGATTTACGCTAACTTAAAAGCAGAAGGTTATACTGGTTATCAATTTCCTGAGCAATCCAAGATTGGCTTTCGTTTTTTTTAATTCTTTTGGTCATCAGGCACTACGATTCAAATGGATTCTTTTAACTTCTCTTTGTTAATTCACGGCATCAGAACAGCTTCTATTTCAAGAATGAGATTCTGAACTGAAATGGGAATTCCAGGTTTCCCAGGCAATATTTGCCTGCGGAAACAGCAGATCACACAACAGTGCGCCTCAGACTCGGGTCTGCACACTGAGCCACGTGAGGTTCTCTCTCGAGCTCCCTGGCTGCGTACTCACGTTCTTTGTTTGAAGCTTGGAGTTTGCTATTTAGAGAATTAGATTACCCTGGTGTCTGTACACTTTTATAGCATTTGAGACAAATAGCAAGTGTTTTCATTAATATTTTAGTAACAGTTCCAGCAGAAACAGGGTATCTGCCTCTAATTCTCTTCAAGTGTTTCCTGAATGCTTAAGCACGGGAACCTGAAAAATCTCTAGAAGTGCTGTGAATACACGCAACCCTGGTTAGTCCGTTTTCACTGTCCGAGGTGACAGAAGTTCTGAGACAAAAAGTGAGAAAAGACTTTTACTGTTACCTTGCATATTAAGTGGAAAAGCTCCTGTGAAGAAAACGGGCTGAAATGCGGGCACAGGCCCCATAGAGGAGCCGTTCTCCTGCTGAGGGACGGACTGGTTTGATCCAACTGGCGAAGGGGGACTTCTGCTCCAAGAGACAGATCCCTGGTAAACCGGGCCTTTCTGAAGGCGAGGGTTTGGGTGTCGTGGTGCAGCACAGCCCCCGGGCAGGGGCGGCACGCCGCCGTTGCCAGCCGCTTCGGGAGCAGCGTTCCCATGCTGTAACGATGCACGGGTGCAAGTCTCCGCATCGGGTAAGGAAGAAGAGTCGGTATCTTGCGATTCTAAGTGTGAGAAACTCCCATTCACCGGGGGGTCCGGAACGCTGTCACTCATGGTGTTATAAACATAAGGGAAAGGTGGGTTCGCCAGGTAATTGGGGATGATTGGCAGATCTGAATCCTTTACGTCTGGGAGTTCATCATCCTCCACTGTAAAACAAACAAAACAGTATTCTCCAAGTCTGATTTAAGGGGAAGAAAAAAAGTATTGCTATTGCACTGTGGGGCTGCTTTTTTTTTTTCCTCTCATGAGGAGGGAGTGGAGTGTTAAAAGCATCACGGGATAAAAGATGAATCAAGAAGCACTCCACCTTTTTTCTACAGTAAACAGAACCATGCTCAGGTGTTGCAATACAGTAATCACAAAAGCAGAGTCTGATTCCAGTAATTCTGGGGGTGCTGTTTCCTTCTAAACGCTACAGTGCTTTTGGTTTGGTTTGGCTTGTTTCAATCCGTAGGCAGCATGTTGTAACATGGTCTCTGGTGGTATAATGCTATCGTCCTCATAATGTATAAGGCAATGAAAAACAAAGGGTAATATGCTGTTCGATATTAAGGCAGGGGATAAAGGGAAAAGAACATGCAGTTCTGGGAGAGCTGAAACGTTACCAATTCAACAGCTGGGAGACAATAATGAAAACAAAAACAGACAAGGGAATACAGAGGGGAGGAAAGAGATTGCTAATTGACCACATTTCAAATTACTTATCACCTCTAGCAGCAAAGCCTACTCCGCTCCAGCAGTTACAAAACACAGTAAAAATATTCCGCTGATGTCCTTTAATGAGCTGTTTCTCTGGGCTGCTCATTTTCGATTTATTCAACACAGTGCCTAAGCTCCATAGAACATCAGGAAAATCAGGAGTTGCTCATATAAGGGCTTCATACAAATTTGAGAGGTTTTCTCCTGTTGCCCTTTTGAAAATAGGAAGCTGCATCTGTCACTGGTTTAATCACGGCATTTTTCAAAACACGGTTTTTCTAATTTTTCAGTATTTAGAAAAAAGTTTGGCTAGCTGGATGGAGATTTTGTGGGTAATTCTCTCTTCTTACACTTGGATTTCTTACCAAGTAAACACTCTAGAAACCAAGTCACCGTTATTACTAAAACCCGAACACAGTATCTTCACATGCGAAATAAAGATTGGAACATACGTGCTTTAAACAGCCTTTTACTACAGTCTCTGACGATCATATCGCATAGCCAATAGGTTTACCTCCCAACATCTTCCTTATCTCCCTCTTTGACGTTAACTGGGCCGGCCTTTCTCCCTTCTTCGTCAGGATCTCCTTGTCAGCACCGGCGTGCAGCAGGTAAGCCACCACCGGCGCATGGTTCCGTTTACATGCCCAGTGCAAACAAGTCCTGCACATGGAAAATGTTAAGACTGTTTGAAATCCTGAATTACGGCAGACTAACTTCCACTCGTTCTTGCTGCCCATGAGAAGAACAAGACCTAATGCGTAACTAACATAAAAAGGTTTTCATTGCGGTCTTCCTTGGAAATTTACCCTGGTTTTGGAGCCTGCAGTGACACCTGCTGATGTAGTTTTCCCTTGCTCTGATGCTCTTGATACCAAGCTACCACAGCAGTATTTTTAAAGTTCAAGATCTTTTCAATTTGTCATTTATTAAGCTAGTAACTTGTCTGGAAAAACAAATATTAGAAGGAGGCTTGTGTATGCTACTTTAATCTTTGAAAGAGTAAGTTGAACTTAAAACGCTTTTGCGCGTGTATGTGCGCTAATAGGGATACCTCCCTGGGACGCTATTTTTACTCTTTGAAGAGCACAGTGTGCTGTCAGCACAATGACTTGCACTTTTTGGAAAGTAAATGATGTTCAAAATACTGGAAGCATAGTTTGGAAGCATAGTTCTTTGCCCAGTTGCTGCACCAGCAGCTCCCAAGCTTTCATCTGCAGACAACTAGCTTTCTGCAATCTGTAACTGATGCACAGAACTAATCGCTTTTCTAGTTTAATTATTATTTGCAGTTGCTGACGTAGGGAGACACAGTAAAGCAACATCCTAAAAGCTACTGAGCTTCTTTAGTGCTTAGTGTTTGGGACTCGGTAGACACACACATTGGAACTCGCTGTTCAGTCTTGCCATTCTTCCCTATCCCAGGTTCTAGCGATGTTTGACCTTTCCTTAGCTTTTCTCTTTTCTTTTAATTCTCTAGCTCCAGCTGAAGGAAACTCTGTGGAAAAATGAACACACTTAACCCTTCTCCAAGTTGTTGTTTGTTTTTTTTTTAAAGAATTAAATAAAATAAAGCAGAGAGAAATAACAAACTTAGGGGGAAAAGTTTCAGTTGAAAGTTTAGCTCCAAAAAGCTTTTTCCACCTTTTTTTTTCTTTTGAGAGAGAGAGACAGTCATTACACTGCAAAGTTGTATCTTGACCAGTAACTCCCAACCTTCTGTACAAAATTCCAGTTTTCTTGTGTAGAAGGATATAAGGGAGAAAAGAGAGAATCTGATCTTTGGAGGGATACAAATCAGATAAAACCAAGGGAAGACAAGGTGACTTGAAAAACCTTGTTGGCTGTTACATATTTTGACTTAATAAACCTGTCTTAGCAGAAACAAAAGGCTCAATTCTACACTTTCTTCCCATTAACATCAATGTATCTTGATGGCAGAAAGGATCTCTGAATTAAAGGTAACGAGACCAGTCACTGCAGCAAGAGGTTATATAGAATTAGATCTAACTGAAAAGACATGAATGTAAGTGTATGTATACATTTTATTTTTCTTCACAGACTATCCTAGGAAAGGTGCTACAAAATCCGTGTTTCAGAGGTGATATTGCTAGCAATATTGTAAACTCCTCTATTTTCTCTCCAAGGTTGGGCTGTGCATTTCAACTAGAAAGTGCCATTTTTAAACAGGATAAAAGAATTTTGTCAGCCGAAAGGATTCCTGAATTTTTAACACCAAAGGTCCCACCGAATCCGAGGCGAGCTCCATGAAACTCAGCCCATGTTTGTTTTTTTCTGTGCAGTATTTTCTGAACTTGTCACAAATATCCCCTTGTGAAACGAGCGTGAATAGCCTGCATGACTTCAGAAGTAGCGCGTTGCCAAGTCATACGCTAGCGTGGACCAAAGTCGTGGGAAAAAGCGCAGACAGCGTCGCCGTGTTTGCTTTGAGCGTAAAATCTGCAGGTTTAGTTTGTGCAGAAGGCGTGTAAGCGTCAATAGCGCTGGGATTTTGGGATCCATTTTGGGATCCATCCTGCCCATTTCACGTGGCTCATGCAGAAGTATCATCTACCCATGGACCTCACACGCATCAAAATGTAAGTACTCTGCACCTCTTAGCATCAGGCATACTGAGAAGCTCATGGGAGAAATTTAAATTCTACAAGCAAATTTAAATAACAGCAAAGATCCATTTATTGCCATAGTTAAAAATTACCAGGTCATTATTTTTTTAAATAATTAGATTTTATGACAGATTTCTTTATCAGCACCAGTTTTAGATACAAACTCATTTTGAGGACAAGCAGCTGTTTATCTTACTAAGATAATTCAACATCTTACGAATCAGTTATCTTAAATTTTCACAAGTTCTAATTTTAATCACCACAATTTGAACCTCAAGTTGCAAGTGTCCCACGCTTCTCAAAACTGCTGATCGAACTTTCATCTTTAAGTCTAGCTCCTTTCCTAATTTTATTCTTCCTATTTTGAATTACAACTTCGAGCACAGTACAGCAGAGTGAATACAGGCTGAATTGAACTTACGGGAAACAGTCTCCAAAAATGCCTGAGCATTCCCTGTACATCCTGCTTCAAATAACATATTTGTGTGTGTGTGTCCATGTAGAGAGTCCCACTTGTGCAAGTGTCTATTACAGAAAAGTCTCGGTTTTAGTGTCATCAGGTGGCATCTGACTGAGATGTCAAAACCAAAGCGTTTATATATATCACTGAAAGAGCCTGCAAGTTCCTGGCTTGAAAGGGAAAGTCATTTTGAAACCTGATTTAGGAGTTAATAGAAAATATTTCTGGTTAGACATGAACACAATAAGTGAACCACGTAAGTGGTTGAGTCTCCATCCCTGGAGGTATTTAAAGGATGGATGGACGTGGTGCTCGAGGACATGGTTTAGTGGTGGACTTGGCAGCGATAGGTTAACGGTTGGACTCGATGATCTTAAGGGTCTTTTCCAACCTTAACGATTCTATGATTCTATGAACACGTGTTGGGAAGGCGAGGGTTGCGTTTTGACTGCCTGTGCTGTCTCCGGCTGCCACCATGCCCTTCCAGGGGAAATAAAAAGAAAAAAACAAAAGGCAATATAAAGTACAATATAAAGTAACAACAGAGCGACCTGGAAAAGCAGCAAAGGGCACAGGACCCGAGCGGGAGGTGGGATGGGGACGCGCGTTTGTAACGGCGGTTATCAGCCGCATCCCCATTTTTTTCCCGGTTGGAAGAGAGATCTCTGCAGAGAGGAGCACTCGGCAGCGGATCGACCTTTTGATTTCATTCTGAATTCAAAGCGATTCGTATTTCACGTGAAAGCGAGGACCCACGCAGCGCTAGCTCCG